GGCATTGATGGAGAGAGAGAGGGGAGGGCAGGGGGGGTAAATGGGTGTGTTGTAGGTGTTTCACAACAGCAGCAGCAGCAGTAGCAGAAGAAGATGGCGGGAGAAATTGTGAGAGAATGAAGAAGAAGATGGTGGGAGAAAGGGCGAGAGGCTGGGCAGTTCCTTAACGAAAAGCAAAAACGGCGGGAGAACGGGCGAGATGACGGGTGGGAGAAAGTTTCCAGACGGGAGAAGAAGAAGAACAAGAAAGGAGGATGACGAAGAAGAAGAAAGGAGGAACTGCTGCTCCCCAGAATGGAACGGAGCCAGGGCCATAAGGACCTGTTTTTAAATTAAAAAAAAAAAAAAAAAAAAAAAAAAAAAAAAAAAAAAGCAGGAAAGGAGGAGGAAGAACAAGAAGATGAAACTACAATGAAGAAGTAGAAGAAAAAGATGGGGGATTGGAGATGGCGAGAGAGGGGTTGGATTCATCAGCGGTTGTGTATGGCAGGCAGTTCTACAAGTTCTGAGGCAAAACAAAAAAAGGGGAGATGGCAGTTGGGGGAAAGTCTCGCAACAGTTACTACAGGAAGAACAAGAAGAAAAGAGGAGGAAGAAGAAGAAGAAGAAAGAGGAAGAAGAAGAAGAGGAGGAAGAAGAAGAAAGGAAAAAGAAGAAAAAGGAGAAGAAGAAGAAGAAAAGGAGGAGAGGAGGAGGAGGAAGAGGAGGTGGGGCGGAGGAGGAAATTACCATTTCATCAAAATCGACTTTTTTTTTTTTTTTGAACGAAATTGAAACCGAGTTTTTTGGCCGAAAACTCGTCAAAATTTGCTGTTCCTGAGGGTCCAGCGTTTGTAAAATGCTGGACCCCCTGGCTGGACTGCCTGGAGGTGCCTGGTCTCAAGCTAGGTCCATGTACAGCTAGGGGGTCCAGCGTTTTACAAACGCTGGACCCTCAGGAACAGCAAATTTTGACGAGTTTTCGGCCAAAAAACTCGGTTTCAATTTCGTTCAAAAAATAAAAGATGTCCATTTTGACGAAATGGCAGTTAGGAGGAGGTGGAGCGAAGGGCACCTGCGAAGGAAGGAGCTGCAGTGTTGCAATTGGAGATGAGCGGAGGTGGGGAACTTTCGTGCTCTGGCTGCTGTTCACGCTGGTGAGGTTTGTCGACGGGAGGAGGAAAAACGTCTGAAAGAAAGGAGGAAGAAGAAGAAGAAGAAAATGTCTCGCAGGGGAGGGGGGGGCTACCTGGCTTAGAGGTGGCAGCACCGGCAATGGCAACAGCGACGGTAACCGGCAGCTCGGAGGAGATATGAATCAGCGACGGTAAGGGGCAGCTTGGAGGAGAAGGGCAAGGGCGACGGCGACGGCGACGGGCAGCTCGGAGGAGATCGCAATGGCAATGGGCAGCTGCAGCACTAGACGAAATGCGGGGATGCTAGGGTCTGTTCGAGCAGTGAGGCTGCAAGTGAATGCCAGCCCGCGTTTGAAACCGAACACCGGTAGGGGCCCGTATTCACGCGCAGCCTCAGCAAGCGCAGAGGTCGGACAGGGCCCTGTCGGCCCAAATTTTTGTCCCGACGGCCCATACTCGACCCTTGGCGCATCAGGTGGCTGCCTGGACCTGCCCAGGCCCTCCCCCCCCTGCACTGAAAATTGCGCTGGGCCCAGCCGGCAATTGACCAGGGGACCCAACCGGCCAGGCCGCCGGGCACCCCCCCCAGGCGACGGCCAGGTGACCGGGCAGCCTGGCGATTACCTCAGGAAAAAACAAATTGTGTTGCGCAGAAGAACAAAGTTTAATAATCTGAACAACTTTTGCCTCAGAATCGGATCGAAATTCTTTGCTAAATTAAAAATAAAAGGATGAGATTAAAAAATGTATATATAAGGGTTCAGCCTCCTGATGAGTCGGTGAAACTCCGACGAAACAGTTTGTCATGGCCCCTCATTCGTTGTCCTCTTCTCCCTCTCTGCCTACGGTTTTTCACGCAGCTCTGTTTGACTATATATCAGGGTTCAGCCTCCTGACGAGTCGGTGAAACTCCGACGAAACAGTTTGTCACAGCCCCTCGTTTGTTGTCCTCTTCTCCCTTTTGTCCCTCTCTGCCTATGGTCTACCAGGCAGCTCTGTTTGACTGCATATATCGTCAAACAGAGCTGCCCGTTAAACCGTAGTCATATATATCGTGTTTTGTTTTGTTTTTTTTATGTGGCCCGATGGACCACGGATCAGATATTAAACTGATCAGATAACAGATACTACACTTGATCTTAGCCAAAAGGCCGAGAAAGGTATTCATATACGATATATATCGTTTTTATTTTTAGCTTTTTTAATCCATTTTTGGCCTGGCCGGGCAAGTGGTCCCGGGTCGCTCTGGGTAACGTATTGTACCTATATAACTTGTGCAAGTGTGTGCCGCATCCGCGGCAGATGGGTGTGTGGGCACTTGGCACTTAACCAGACAAACATGGCCAACCTTGCATCCTGTCTATTCCTTTTTTTGTTTCATGGATGGTTTGTGATGAGTTGTGCATGGAATGAGAGGGAGAGATTTTTTATTTGTATTTTTAAACACACAGTCATGCTTTTTTTTGTGTAGTAGTGTATATTGAATATGACAACACACACACACACACACACACACACACACACACACACACACACACACACACACTTTTTTTTCCCAAGATATTAAATTGTTTAGAACACAGATTAGTCACTCCATCTCAGCCAAAAGGTTGAGAAAGGTATGCCCCCCTTTGTTTTTTTTGTTTTTGTTTTTTTTTTAACAGAAAGCCGTTTCACAAGTCTACTATTCTGGCGGTGGTAAGAGAACCGCTGGGATCGAGGCCTTGGCTGGTGGGCTGCTCCATCTATTGATGGGGAGCGGCACCTGCTGGAAACTGGGTCCAGCGTCCCTTGGAAACAGCATTGTTTTACCCCCTTTGTGAAGTTATTTGCGAGGCTGATGAAATTGGGCACATTTGCCGCTGAAAATGGTGCTGGTAGCTACTCTATTCAGATGGCTGGTCATTATATCTCTATTTGGGGCATTTTTAAACCCAGATGGAGCGATAGCAACTAGGCCCTCTATTCAGGTGAAGACGGTAGTAGAAGGATCTGATGAGCTAGTTGCTAGCACCACATCATGTGGAAGGACTCTCCTTCAACGTTGGCTCTGATGTCTATACACTTCCTTTCTCTACTGAAAACTCCCTCTGCTTCTACCAGACCCCACCTTGTTAGTTTTTTTCTGCCTGTGTAATGTTAACCCTTAACTTCAATATCAGCCTAACAAAGCCGCCTATTTATGGCCAGTTCATGCCCGATCATTTTGCCGCATGATGTTTGCATCATCTGTCCTAATCCTCCAGTGAGCGGCCAAGCCACTGGAAAATCCCCTTCCGGTTAACATGGGCCTGCCAAAAGGCTCGGTGTCTGCTGTGGCAAGAGCTGGCGGATCACGACACGGAGTACCCGATGTGTCTTCTTCAGAGAGTCAGAGACCTATCAAAACGAAACGAAAAGTCCTCTCTTAGGGCATATACTCACAGCAGGACTTTTTCAACTAAGCTCTGCACACCTCTAGTAGAGGTCACTGGCTTTTCCCATTAATATTATAATAATAATAACATAATAATAATAATAATAGTAATATAAATAATATATAAATAGTAATAAAAAGATTACTGTCAGATGCATCTAAGTCTGGCCGCTGTCAGGTACATGTAAGAGAGTGTGAGTGTGAGCATGGCCTTAGAAAAGGAGTTCATCGGGCCGCGCTGCACTACTCTCGACATGCACAACAGACAAAAATCATGGCGGTGTATCTTTCCATATTCTAGCGGAAGATTCACTCTCGTTTTGCACATTTCGAGAGTAGTGCAGCCAGGCCCATTAACAAATTGCCAGCTTTCTACTTCCATGCAGCATTGGTTCGTCAGAATTTTGCCCATTGCAGAGAATTCCCCATCTGTGTATCTTTTTAACAGGGAACGGGGGAATTAAACTCCCGTTGAATCCCATTGAATTCCAAAAAAATCCCGTTGAATTCTAAAAAATCCCGTTGAACTCCCGTTAAACACGAAAACGGGCGGCTCCCGCGCTTTTCGGAAAAACGGAATTGATGCGCGGG